ATCTCTGCAACCTGCGCTCCCCCAGTCTATGACTATCCAACTCAGACTCGAATACATGCTCTCTTTCAACTTTTTCCTCTACTTTGAGGCTCAATGGGAACTTATTTCTTCGAAAGATTTATCTTGAGTGCTTGCCTCATAAAAAGGGAACCGGGGGGACACCCCAGTGCCCCTTATGACTGATTTGCCGTTGATCCCGATTTTTTTCGCCAGATCCTGATTTTTTTACTCTGAAGTCCTGATTTTTAGATTTCATAGAGTGGCAGGTCTGTATTCGTGTTAAGGGCATCAATATTTAGTAGAAAATGGACTACTGGTAGTTAAGTATGAGACCGGAGGGAAAGTGAAAGAATACCGTAACTTAATATTTCACTTGTTTTCAACATGGGGGGTTTCAGGAGGGGCATGTAACCACAATTTGATGTTTTGCAAGAAGGTTTGATAGATATATATCTCTTGTTCGCCGCGCGTCAAACGTCATATAATCGGCATGCGCATTGCGCATCGAAAAGTTATAATTTAGAACCTCAAGTAATCGTTGGTGGAGCCAAAACCCACACGCCATAGTTATCATTGGAGCCAAAACTGGATTATCCTTGCATATTATTAAATGCTATGCAAATCTGTATGTTGGTGGAACAAGATAGAGTCTAGACAAGGTATCTCTAGTCTACAATCACATGTTCTCTTCTTTTCAGACAAATCATACACACTTTCTCTACTCTTAACCTTCTAAGCCTAAGCCTTTAATTTTAATACTTATTGAATTCAATAATTCAATCAGACAATAATTCAATCAGACTTATTTTATGTTAAGTACAGTTGAGTCACTCTCACTTTTATTACTGTTGTAAATGTAATATCTAGCTGCTCCGTGTATTCTTTACTTTATAAACATGAAATCACTAGATGCCTGACTAACAACAATGTATAACTTCTCTGTTGAAGAAAGTGTAATTAAAAACAACACACCAAACCATATCAAATGCCAGATAGAGTTTGGGTCTCTGATTCTTTTACTTTCACTACTCTGTCACTTTCACAACTGTCGCGTGCTCAGGTTTTGTATTGTAAAGTAAAGCCCTTTTGTTGTTCATTTTATCCGTTTATACATGAATATTGATTAATGATATATTCATCTCAAATTGATAGTAATTGAAATACATGTATATTTGATGGGGGTTTTTAAAACAATATCACACCAGAGAGGGTTTACAATATTCTGTAAACTCTCTGATCACACTAAGCCTAACTGCATAGTAATTTCAGAGCTTTAGACCTATCTGGGGATATCAGGGGAGAGGGGAGGGGGGCCTCCTGAGGTAAAAAAAAAAATATCGGGAGTTACACAGGTGAGCGTGCCTCTCAGTTTTTCCCTACAATATGATGTTTTGCATTATATGGTTTTTAATTTTCTTGAAATTTTAACCAATTTGCGACAGTTTTAGTGGCCATCTCTCAAATAATTGTGATTTGCATAAATAAATACTGCAGTTTTACTAGTTTGACCCCCCAAAACAGTGCATCTGTGTGCGGGAGTGAAAGTAAAAATTTACTAAGTCTTCTTTAATAGATTTCTACTCAATTTAAATCTACGATAGTAGTCTCCATCTCTAAGATCCCACGATTTATGATCCTGGTTCATATAAGATTTCGCCGAACCTGGATGTGCGCAGCTGATAAAAAATGCAGTGATTTATTTGCTATCATTGAGCTGTTTGTTCCTTCATAGCATCATCCCCGTTCATGGATACGATCACATTACATGTACCTGAATTACCTGTCCTTGGCAGCAACGTCATTGCACACCGGACAGGTCCATAAGTGCTGAGTTCCTCCCCGCACCAAAGCCCGCAAGGTGTCCGTACTGATTGTTCCTGTGGCTGTCAGATTATGGCGACGTCTTTCCTTTCCAGATAACAGTTCCTTTCTTCCTTCTCCCTTCTCTATCACCATTTCCTGCATCCTGATGATTGCGTGTTCTGCTGTCTCCCTGTCTTCCTCGCCCCGTATTTTTTCTTGATGGGTCTTCAACTCTTCTCCTTTGTCAAATTTCACCTCACCATCAACCATGGCACTGCCTGCCAGCCTTTCAGCCTCCTCATTGCCCTTCACTCCAAAATCCCCAGGACAGAATATCCACACGATAGCTCTAAGTGATGGGTGTTGTATTGGATTCATCCATTCACTCCGAAGCAGCCCTTTCTCAACCCTTCGCAGGATGCTTTGGGAGATGGGTAGTTAATGGTCTTGTATTTTGAAGCCAGCCAAGTGCTCTTGTTACGGCCTCAATCTCCATTTTCATGCTTGCCGTTGTTCTGTCTATGGCCCCTGACATGCTATGAACCTTTTTGTTCCCACTGTACACCACAAAACCCCACCCACTTCTCTCACACCCCTCCTGACCGATCCTCCCGTGCAGATCACTGGGTCCTCTGGCTTGGAGTGCTCCTCAATTAACTGTCGTATGTCATTGTCGTTAATGATGGCAACACATTCCCCTCTTTCACGATCCGATCCATAGTGTTGATACGATCACATCTTCGCTGTAAATATCGATAAGAGGTACAATGTTCGCCCCAGACACAATGACCTTAGACTTAGAATAAAGGGATCACGCCCAGGTTTGAACTCTTCGACACCTTTTTATTTTTCTGAACATCAAACTCGCATTACAAGCCTACCACCTGAAATTACAGCAAAGCTGTTTAAGATAGGGTCACATCGAACTGTGATTTCGTTGGTGCTTTTGTTTCCCTGGCTATCTCACTTATCTATCTGATCTGCACCCGAAGAATTTGCTAGACAAACTGTCGCCCGCACTCGGGGACTGTCAGATTGCCTTTGTGTAATGTTGGCAATGAGCCTGCCGTTCCTTTTTCAAATTTTAATCTTGCTGAAAGTTTTTTAGATATTACAATCCTCTTTTTAACCTCCGTGTCGCTTTTTGCATCTGGTGTAATTGTGCAACCAAGATATATGTAAAGCTGTTGACTAGTTTGTTCCTTCGATCTTACTTTTACGTTCAGATGTGATGTTGCATCCTGGGATGTCAGCTCTTTTTGGGATCTTTAACATTATAAAGTATAAAGAAGCTGGCTTCGACTCTGTCAAGGCCGACTCAAGCTGAGAGGGAAGACCGAGATACCTGATGAAAAGTATCCCCTTCCGCAAATCGTATTCAGGTTTTCTACTTGCGACAACAAAAACACCTAACTGTTACACCATAGACACCATTTGTTTTCCTTTGACTTTTATTTACACTTCATAGATATCTCTACTTGTATTAGTCAGAATGCTCTCATAGAATAAATGGGTAGATAGTATGTCACAGTGAAAAGGTTTTCTTTCCAATTTTACCAAGATAACTATTTGACATTCCCCAAAAACCTGTAATGTTCTTTACTGTTTCTACATCAAATAAAATTATTCTTACTCCTCCCTTAAATATTAGTAGATTTAGTCCTGTTTTAAAACATTTTTTGATCAAGCCTGCCGCCTATTACTATTATTGTCCAAATTGTAGATATCTAGTGGCTCCATTTTTATTTTTGATGAAATCAGTAGGCGACCGACAACAGAAGTGAATTTAAGCATTTAAGCGACACAAAATCATTATTCACATGAGGGGTTGGATATGAGTTTGAGTCACCTGTAATAGATCTCTACCCGGTTTGAATATTATACTTAGATCTATTATACTAAGATCCCACCATTTATATGCTCAGGGTTGTTTAAGATCGTGCTGTTTTCAGAAAACATAATATTTACCTAATACATGACTAACTACAGTCCCTAAGATCCTGCACTGAGGTTTGAAGTCTAAAGGGATTAAATATGCTAAGTTCCCTCATTTCATATTATAATTTACTGAAAGAATAACTCGGGTGCCAGCAGATCAACAAAACAGCAAATGTTTGCTATCACTGAACTATTTGTCCTGTCATAGATCGTCCACACTAACGCATATGATCACATCTCCTCTCTAGCTTACATCTTGATAAGGGGTACAATGTTTGCCCCAGATGCAGGGACCATAGACTAAAGTGATCTGGCCCTCGTGTGAGCTCTTTGGCGCCTTCAATTTCCCCAAACATTGAATTGTATCTGAGCTTACAGCAAAGCCTGATTCGGTGGGTAGGGCCAACAATGCCACTTCAGATGAGGTAACATTGAATTGCGATGTTGTCAGTGCTTGTGTTTTCCTGCCCATCGCATTTTCATTAGCCTTTCAGGTCTGTACATGTACCTGAATTAGCCAGATAGATTGGCACCCGTTTTCTGGGGCTGTCCCATTGCCTTTGCGTAATATTGGCAGTGAGCCTGCCTTTCATTCTTTAAATTTTTAATTGGTTAGTTCACTGCACAATGATGAGTTATGACCTGAGTGGGGATCTCGGTCAGAGATGAAGGAAAGCTATAAATACTGGACGTCATGTTGATTTAAGTAAATGGGGGAACAATGGGATCAACTTAGATCTAGATCTATTAGATAAAGTGAAAATGACATGCCATATCAATTTTTTTTAAAGATAATTATGAAAGGTCATCAAGGTTAATCAGTCTTTGCTTGCCGTAAGCTATAAGGGTTCAAGTCTGTTCATTTCAATGTAAGAGGAGATCATTATTTTAAAATTGTACCGATCATTGGCTTAACTGTGAGTCACTGTAGATTCTTCCCCTGATGATTCTGCTAAAACACTGCATTTTCCTTGCTCCCAAGCACAAAGATCTTAGGTGGAGGCTACTTTAGTCCTGTCTACCCTTTTCCAGTCGAATGTATGAATGTACATGTGTACATGTAGTCTAACCTAGCTTATCGATGTGTTTTGAGTGTGTGTGTGGTTGGGGGGAGTCATCTTAATAATGACTGAAAGTGGCTCCCATCCATGTACTCAAACTGGGACATATAAAATGTATGGGAATGTGTCGGACATAAATATTGCAAGATGAAATATTTCTCTTCCCTCTCTCCCATCCCCACACCCATCCATCCCCAGTTTCCCCATATCCGATCCAGAGCGCTGTAAGCAATGGATCAGCAATGTTTCACGTGTGGAGAGTAATGGAAAGCCTTGGGTGCCATCAAAGCACTCACGAATATGCAGTGATCACTTTTTACCCAGTGACTTCAAAATAGGCACTAAAATTAAAGAATTGGAAAAGGACGCTGTGCCAACAGTATTTCCCACTCATCCACCTCACATACGGGTAAAATTCAAAACCCGTCAACAGCTTCCAAAAAAGACCCACCCTGAACCTTCTCAAAATATACGAACAAGATCCGCTCCGCCAAATGAGCCCATAATGCTCACAAACACCACCGGTCGACTGCCTCCAAAGAAGCGCCGCCATGAACCTCCTCAAAATATGCAGACGGCATCCACTCCACCAGTTGAGCTAACAAACACAACTGAACAACTGCCTCCATCACAAAGGCAGAGCCCTGAACCTCCTCAAATTACTCAAAATGGACAAACGGCATCCGTTCCACCAGGCAAGCCCATTATGCACAACACAGACCATTCGTATCCTGTGCCTGACCTAGAAACTGTTTTGGAAAAGACAAAGAAAAGGCTCCAAAAGGTTGAAGAAAAGCTTGCACAAAATAACAAAATAATTAAAAGTTTGCACTCAAGGCTTCATCGTCGAGACCGTAGAATTTCAAAGCTACTCAGCATCATAAAAGAACGGAAAATACGTTCTCTTGAGCAACATGAACATTGCAGTGTGATAATATATGACACTGCCAGTAACTCATACATGGAGACACTGGACATGGAAGCAGTGGACATGGGACCTTTGACCGTCAATGACATGGAGACACCACTGGACATGGGACCTTTGACTGTCAATGACATGGAGACACCACTGGACATGGAGACACCACTGGACATGGAGGCAGTGGACATGGGACCTTTGACTGTCAATGAGGATGGTACTTTAGCTGGTCAAAGTTAAACTGTTATGGTGGGTGGCAGTGAAAAACATTTTAAGCAGCATGTAGACTGTTTTCTTCTTATTGACAATATTACTGCAGAAACTCAAGCACATATTGTTAGGGGTGCACTCATTTTTCTGTGTGAAGCTCGCTACATGTATGCAGTCTATGGTGTTATGTGGGGGTGGAAATTGCACAAATCAGTCAACAGTATTATCACTGCACTGGGGTGTAAATTACAGTGCAGCCTCTCCATAGTATAACGACATCGTCGGGACCAGAAAAAATTGATCGTTATAATAGAGACTTGTGTCATTATAGAGAGGCAAAATATTATGATAAATAAAAGGAAAAAATCTGGTCCTGGGCACCATGTCGCTATACAGAGGATGTCAATATATCAACGGTTGTTATAGAGAGGCCGCACTGAAGATCCTCATGAAATGAAAAATTGGTTTGAGCTCCAACAACAAAAGAGCAAGGGTTTGGGGGGAGGGGGGGTGTTGTCTTTGATGCATGTCACCTTTTTTAAAATGTTAGAAACTGTCTATCAACCCATCTGTTGATTTCAAGTTCTCTCTCTCTCTCTCTCTCTCTCTCTCTCTCTCTCTCTCTCTCTCTCTCTGTCCATCCCTCTCTCTCTTTCCCTCCCTCGTTCTACCCCTCCCTCTCTCTTTTAAGGTCAAGCAAGTGGTAGTGACATGGAGTTTAGATGGGTGGTCACAGGGGTGTGTCCTTGAGCAAGACATGACAACCCTAGCTCAAAAACTGGGTGCTGCTCAGTGGCGAGCAGCAAAACCATGTTTGCCTCTGTATTATATTGTTGTAATATGTATGTGTGTGTGTGTTTGAGTGTGTGTGTGTGTGTGTGTGTGTG